AAAAAGCTTGAATCGGCCGAGTGAATCGCCTCGGTCAGGGCCCAAGTACCTTGGGTGAGTCGATCTATTGAACCTTGGGTAGGATATCCAAAGAAATGCTATGGATAGAATATCCTAATAAATGCAATTTAGGCTCATGTGACCATGTAGCCTTGAAAATTTAGAAGAAGAAAGAAAACTTAAACAAGGTAATTGTAGTTTAGAGTCATTGAGGGTCCATGAAGATGAATATTGAATGAAGTGGTCATAGTTTAGGCTCATATGACCAGGGAGCCTTGAGAGAAAAATTTCGAAGATGAAAAAGAATTTGAATGAAGAGCTTGTCGTTTATGCTCATACAACCAAAAAGTGATAGAAGGAAAAAAATTTAAATGAAAATGAGAATGGAATGGAAATTGGATTGAAGATGAATTTTGATGGACTGGTAGTGATTTAGGCTCATACGATCATGGAGCATTAAAGATGAATTTTGAGTTTTTGAATTTTTTTTTTTTTTTTTTCGTTTTTGTAATGAAAATGGGATGACAGTGAAAAGAAATGGTCATAGAGCATTGAAGGTGAATTTTGAATTTTTGTTTTGGTAATGAAAATGGGATGACAGTGAAAAGAAATGGTCACAGTTTAGGTTCCTGTAATTGAGGAGCAATTGTAAACGATTTTGAAGTTTTTTGAGAAATTTGGAAGCGATGAAGGCATAATGAAAAATGTATCTTCTTGAATTTATTTTAACAAAATTCGATTTTTTTGAAATTTATGGAATCTTAGGGAGATTTTGAAGCTTTAGAATAGCGGATGAGTCATTTGAAAATTCAAAAGATGGAGGTACTTTTTCGAAAGATTCCTCTTTCCCTTCTTTTTATCCATTTTATTTTATTTTGCTTGAATTTAGGAGCAAAATCGAGATTTTGAAATATGGTAGAGAAGAAGATTCTAGAGCATCCTCCCTCCGGCCTGCCGGGTTCTTTTTCTTTATTCTAATTTCTAATTTCTAATTTCACATAAAATGATGTTTTAGAAAATATGGAATGTGATGGGGAAGGGAATGTTTGGAACTTGAATTTTGGAAGCCTTTTAATATTGATTTTCAAACCCTAATAAATATGGAAAGTCAACAATTTCGAAAATAAATAAAGATGAAATTCTAATCTGTTTGACTGCCTGTAAATCGCTCAAACTGCATTGTAACGTCACCGGACCTGTACTATTCTAATGGAAGGAATCTTCTCAAATAATCGGACGAAGTATGGGATTTTGGGGCGCATTTTCTCTTCGGATTTCTTGGAAAGTTTTCATTTCCCATGGTAAGCCAACTTCCTTGTTCAAAGAGTTCTTATGAAGTTTTAAAAGGGCGCCTTAAGGTTATAAACTTCTCATCATCCCTTAAACCTATTAACTTCTTTTAATTTGTTTTCCTTTAAGCTTCTTTTCATTTATAACTCTCCTTTGCAGGCCGTTAATCATATCTTCCAAGGAGAATCCAATCATAATTAGTGATGATGAATCGGATTTGAGTGGATCAAAACCTTTCCACCTGATCTGTACTTGTGCTGGCTACAAGAGTTCCCCTTCCGCTTCGCATTCTTTGAGCTATTCTTCCTCATCGAGCTTGGGGAATTCTCTGCATTCACCTGCTGAACTCTAGCCTTCCTCACCTTCCCAAGGATAAGGGCTAGTGAACCATGAAGAGGAAGACATTTTGAATTTTCTCATCACTCTTAATGACCAGCAAACGATTGGCTTCACCCACATTTTAAGCTATATCCTAGGCCAACAGGGAGTGATCGTGCTTCCAGAGACTAACTTGCTCGTGACGCCCTTTTCAATTTCTCATCCTTTAATTATACCTATATTCCCTGGTTCACAAAACCGACCAGGTTACTCGGAGCCGGCCATTGGGTATGGCTAGTTCTAGCCGATTAGGGTGATTAAATCAAGAACTTAAAAAACATAATAAAAAATAAAGTCCAAAAATAATATATTTGTTTGTCATAGGTTTTTAATGTTTTTTATTGTGTTGGAAAAGATTAGAAAGTATTTTGGCCATTTATAACTATTTTCAAGTTTTCCATATTTTTTAGATTATATGTAAAACACCTTTGGCCACAAATTGATTTTTCAAGAATCCATTTTTTCACTATTTTTTAATCTAATTTGGATGAATTCTGTTTATTATAGTTTAAACATACCTTTTTATATTTTTGGGGGGTTTTGTATATTTATTTTGAAAAAATTTAACCCTTTTTAGTACCTACTTGGCTAAGGTCGGATTACTCGGAGCCAATCTGGGTTACTCGGAACAGCCCCTGGCCGGGTTCCGTTCCTGGTCCGTAGTTTCCACCACTAATATAATCTTTTCAAAAAAGATGAGGTTGGTGTTCTCCTCCTGGTACTGTGGAGGTGAGCGGTACCTCTAAATTTTGCCTAAATGTATGGTTTCAAATAAAAAATCTATTTTCATCTTTAATTGTGAATTTTCAAATTAAAAATTAAGAGAGTTCAATCGAATTTATAAATACTTGAAAATTTTGAAACTAGATAATCTCGATAATTTGTTATAAGATGCATTATTTGTAATATTTAAAATTCTTGAGTTAATTACTAACGGGCCCTATATAAGTAGGGAAAATACAGTAAGCTCTCCTTATATGCGAATATACATCAATTATAAAATGTCTTATTTGTAGGATTTAAAATTTTCGAGTTAATTACTTACGGACCCTATATAAATACAATAATCTCTCATTATATGCAAATATTACATCAAAGGTCGGTCAACGAAATTTTTTTTTTTACAAAATTGTCTCTCAGTTCGAGGATGTCATCCTCGGACCGCATTTTAAATTTTTTCCTTTAGTTTTTTATTTAATTAGGGTGATCCAAGGTTAGGATTTCAGATCGATCGTTCTCTTTTCTTAAAAAAACTAATAGTTCGAGGTCCTAATCGTCGAACTTCTTCTTATTTTTTGAGAAAATGGGGGTATGAGTTAGAATCCTTGGATCGATCTTTTTTTTTTTTTATGTCCCCATTATAGGACTGCTCCTTTATTTTGAAAATAAAATAAGGATCCGAAAATGAAAAACTCGCTCGTTGTAATTTGAAAAAAAATAGCGGTGAGCTCTCCTTCTCTCTGCTGTGACTTTATATGGGTATCCATTCCATTGCATCTCTCATCAGTCACATGCGTAACATTTAATTTCTTCTATAGACCAAGAGCCATGAAGTTATCTTCACATAGGTCGAGGGGCCGAGCATGCTCTCTTCTTGGGGGCAACCACGTGTATCCCTTTTGTGTGTCCCACCGGATAAATTCAAAACCCGATGTGAATTCACGATTGTGATTCATCCTTGCCGCGGGGTACCCGTGTAAACAAGGAGAGGTTTTCAAATGATAACGAGTGGGCATTTTCGATTCATTATTTTTTTCAAACAAATAGAGAGTGGTTTGATGGGAATCTCAAACTGTCTTTTTTTTTTTTATCAGTTCAAAAACTCTAACCTCCAACTAAATAAAAAAGCAAAAAAATTAAAATACAATCCAAAATAACATCATCGGATCGAGAGAATAACATCATCGGATGGAGAGATAATTTTATAAAACAAATATAATATTCTCATATAAAAAGTGCGTATTGTATTTTTCTTGCTTATATAGAATCCATATATAGAATCGATATATAAACTCAAAATTCTTTTATTTTTTCATATATCTACACATCTCAATCGCTGGCTAAAATATATTACAAAATCGAAATGCTCTATTTCAGAGGATTTTTTAGCACGGGTTTGAGTCGGCACGCCGATTGTTTTGAGTCGTTGTTATCATCTTTGTGCTCATTGAGCCAATTGCTAACATTTTTTTCTTCTGAATCGTTTGTCGTCTCTCTAACTTGAGCCACGCTCTCGAGAAATTCATCCAGAGCTCTCAAACCCTACCCCCTTTCCTCCGCCGCCTCCTTCAGAATCTCTCTCACCAACGCCGCCGTCATCCTGGCCGCCGCCCCCTTCTCTCCGCCCATCGCTTCCCCAACCACCCGTGCCGCCTCCTCCCTCCCTACGCCGGCCTCCCGTCTCCTCCCAATCTCCACGCACACTCCCACCTCCTCCACCAGCAGCTTTGCATTGTAAAACTGATCACCGCCCAGGGGCCACCCGATGATGGGAACTCCCTGGCTCAGGGCCTCCACCGTCGAATTCCACCCACAATGGCTCAGAAATCCCCCAACCGAATTGTGAGATAGGATGGTTAGTTGAGGTGCCCATCCTCTTACTATGAGTCCTTGCTTCTTCTCTTTCACCCAATCCTCGAACCTCTCCGGCAACCACTCCGATTCGAATTCTGTTCCCCTCGCATACTCTACCGGGGGCTTCACCGCCCAAATAAATGGTTGCCCGCTTAATTCGAGCCCCAGAGCCAACTCCTTCATCTGTGAAGCCGAAACGTTAAACTGGGAACCAAATGAGACGTAGAGAACAGAGTTTGTTGGGTGCATTGATTTTGAGATATACCAAGTGGTTTTCCATCGCGCTCGGTGAACCCTGAAGCAGTTCTGGTCAAGAAGGGTTGCGGAACTAGGGGACCGACTGCCCAAACAGGTCCGCTTGCCATGGCCTTCAGGTGCTCCAGTGCCTAAGGCTCAAGCTCGGCGACCGTATTACACAGTAGGCCCCCAGAATGAAGAGAAGGTAAGAAATTTCTCCTCATAAACTCGGACCACAAGTCCATGCCATCAGCTGCAAGGATATTAGGAGGAAGATGAGAACGGGAGAGCTTCAACCCCACGAGATCAGGCAGCTCAAACTCGTCGGAATCGGTGTTCTTGTGGGGCATCTGCAGCCACAAGCACGCTACGACTGATGTCCCAAATTCCCCGGAGGTCGAGAAGGAAGCATGGAAGATGCCAAGCTCTTCAGCAACACTCAAAGTCCAGCCGCAGAAGGCATCGCCAATCAAGCAAAGAGATCGGGGACTCTCAGATAGAAGGCGCTTGAGGGCAGGTTGTAGTGACTCGACTGCCTTGCAGAAGGGGAGGAGGAGTTCAGGGGGAATGACATCGGTGCTCTCCGTACCAGCCGGCAGTCCGTGGTCAGTGCTGGAAAGGGGAGCTCGGCCACCGTGATGGTGGCCGTGGCCAGCATGGATCGCATCTTCTGGGCGTTGCCGGGGGTGCCCACCAGGATGATGGCGTAGGACGTGCGGTGGGCGAGCAGGTGAGCTAGAGCCAAGAAGGGGATGAGGTGCCCTTGGGCTGGGAAAGGCACCAACACCACGTCTTCCACCTCTTCCCCACTTGCCTGTAAGTGGCTAGCCGCCATGTCCATTTAACTCTAGAGAGAAAAAATGTGTTGCACAAGGAGAATTTGTTGAGAGAGACAAAAAGGTGTTGTTCAAAGTTGAGAGACGATACAGTAGGGTTCACCAAGGAAATGGTACAGCAGCGAGAGGGCCCAGTTTTTTTTGTCGCACATTTACGTTGTAATTAAGAGAGGTTTGTATAGAGCCGAGACTCTAAACAATCAAAATAAAGCTCACTTTCAAATAATGTCCGAATAGTGAAAATCTTTGTGATAGCTTTGAAATATATTTTTATCTCTAATTATAAAACTTCAAATTTAAAAAATAGTGTAGATGAAGTATATGAATAAAAATTTAAAAATCTTGAAAATTGACAGTTAAAACATACAGTACAAGATGCACTTTTTGTAAAACTTGAAATCTATTTTTTTTCTCATGTTTATGTACCTCGATATTGAGATGATCAATTTGAGGATATTTTTACATCAAAACAACTTCTGGTGAAATTTTTGAGATACATTCTAATTTGATTGTTTAGAGGAATCACGTGGATGTATGGGCCTTTAAATCATTGACATTTCACAAGACTACCTATAACGGCCAAAAAATTAATATTAGATTTTTTTTTTTCTAAATAAACTATTTATCTAAATTTAGAGTGTAGATTTACTTTTATAAATACAATAATATTAACATAATTAAAAAATATTTTAAATAGAAAATGATCAAAATACCCTTATGTTTTATCAATATTTTCGTTTAAAAGATTTTTTTTTTTTATTCTATTCCAGTTATAAAATTGACGCTGAAAACAAAATTTTAATTAATATTATTTTTAATAAAATCTTAAAAAATTAAAAACATAATTCATTTTAGCCGATGAGGCTGGTTCAATCTGAATTATTAAAAGGTGTGTGGATGCAATACCGACAAATCAAAAAAAAAAGAAAAAAAAGAAGGATAGGTGACCCAGAAACCCTATAAAAAATCAGTCCGGATTGGCAGAGCGGCGACTCAAATTATTGATTGAGACGGATTGAATCTGCTAAAACTTTTTAACTGAAAAAAAAGGAAAAGAAAACAGAAAATAAAGTAATATTTTGAAAAAATAAATAAAATAAAAGGTGTGGTTAGCTCTAGCCACTTCCCCAAGAGAACCGGCTAGAATAGGGTGGTTCATACCAGCAGCCCACCAGATCTTAACAGTAAATGGTCGGCTCTAAATAAACAGTGATAATTGGACTCTTTCGATCAATTCCGAATCAAGAACGAGTGATTCCAATCTGAATTGGTATTTTTTAAAACCCTATATGCCTTTATTTGTGGAGCAATCAGGGCTGGCAACAGGCTGGACCTGGACCATGGTCGGGTCAACCCTAGCCCAATCCTAATCCCCATAGGGCTGGCCCAGGCCCAACATTCGGCCCTGAGCAAGCTAAAGAGACCCTACCCCAAGCTCGGTTCTAGCCCTATTAGGGCCAGACAAAGTACTGGGCTAAATAAAATTTTTTAAAAAAATTGCAACAAAAGAAAACAAAAAAAAAGAAGACCATGCCAGGCCGGCCCTACCCTAGGTTACCTGGCCTTAGCCCATGCTGTAATTTTTACGGCCGGGCTGATTGGGACTGACGGACTGGACTGGACCGGGATGGCCACCTAGCCCATTTCCACTCTAGAGCAATTCTTGACGAGAGAGCAACGTGGACAAGGCCTTGTCCAGTGGCACCTATTTGTTGTTGATGGGAAGTAAAGATGGCATTTTCCATTTCCATGAAAGGGAGTATAGCATAATCCCATGATCATGGAAGGTCCACGTTCATGGAGATCGTCACCATGGTCGGATAGTGTTGGACACTACATAGAATACCAAAAGCAGTAGAAACACTAAAATCAACTATATCGGATGGAAATCCCAATATATTTTTTCAGGTTTGATACTTGCCATGTAGATGATGTGATGTTCTTGTGTTCTTTTGCTTACATCTCTTCCGGTTCGAGAGTTTGATGCTCGCATTCTAACGTTGATTACTAAAACCAACAAGATATACATGATGTAAATCTCGAGCTTTTAAGAGAAGGTCCGATAGCTTTTCGATCACCTATGAGTTTTTCATTTTAGAGCTTCCATAAGGAGAAAACTAGGGAGAGAAATGGGACTTTCTTTTTTTAGTTGTAGAGAGGAAACCTGTTTTAAGAGGTAAGTGCATCCCATCAAATCTTTACTCTTTTCCCTATTGTTTAAAAACTTTTAAGGTAGAATTTTATCCAAAAGTGGGCTATCTTCCATCTTTTGGATAATTATTCCCCTTGTGCTTATTCTCAATTCGATTCGGATTACTGACTAATTTTATAGACATCCTCTTCTATATTAGCCATTAAAATTGCTGAAAATATCATGGACATTCTTTCACCTATAAGATGTGGACACTAAATCCAAGGTCACACTATAATAGTTTTGGAAAACATTTTTAAAAGAACACCCAATATAAAAACCTCAAGTCACTAATAGGCTGGTGAGCATCTAATTAGAGTACACTTATTTCTTCAGGTACGAATTGGATGCAATGGTGTTCCCCTAGGCCTGCTATTGTTCTGTTTCAACTTGACTACGTTTCTAGCGCTGGCCCCAACCCCGTCGAGTCATACGTGACCATGGAGAGCATGTTAAAAATAAACTTGATTATGTTCAAGGGTATTTTGGATATTAGTTTTAAATGTAAGGGACATTTTGGAAAAGTTATTTTAAGGGTACTTTTGGAATGATGTAAAAGAACTGTGTAGAGTTCCAAAACCACAATTCCAAGATTGAGAGAGATGAATCAAAGATTGAAAGCGATGAATTTCAAGATTGAGAGAGAAGAGTCCCAAGATTGAGAGAGAGGAGTCCAAAGCATGCAATGCATGCAAATTTGAATTGGAAATGAGTGAAGACTAGAAATTTCTTGATTATTCATGTAATTTTGTCCAAGCATATAGGTTGTAAGTTTTGAGAGGGAAAACTTCCCTAGAATGGTGTAGAAAGAGTCTAGAAAGCTCCTAAGTGGTCTATATATACATGTACTATGTTTTTGTTTAAGTAGAGTGAAGAAATTGTGTTGAATTGAACTCTTTTGTGTGCATAGTACAAATTCTAAAAGTAAGCTTTCTTCCTCCGTATTTTCTAACAAGTGGTATCAAAGCCAAAGTGCTTAAGAATGGCTCTCTTAGTCCAACAACAAATTCCTCTTCTCACCAAAGATAACTATGAGAATTGGAGTATTCAAACGAAGGCATTGTTGGAGTCCCAGGATGCTTGGGATATTGTTGAAAAGGGGTATGTAGAACCAGCAACACCGCAAGAAGAAGCGGCTTTGGATCAAAATCAAAGAAGCGTGCTAAATGAGTCGAGAAGTTTGGACAAGAAAGCTCTTTTTCTTATGTACCAAGGAATTGAAGAGAGCACTTTTGAGAAGATTTCTTCCGTTGAAAATTCAAAAATGTATGGGAGATTCTTCAAAATTCTTTCAAAGAAGTGGAAAAGGTGAAAAAAGTGCACCTTCAAACTCTTAGGGCCGAGTTTAAGGCATTGAAGATGAATGAATCCGAAAATATTTCGGAATACTTCTCAAGGAGTTTGGTTGTTGTAAACCAATTGAGAAGAAATGGAGAAAATATAGATGATGTAAAAGTAATGGAGAAAATACTAGGATCACTAGATCGTAAGTATGAGTACATTGTTGTAGCCATTGAAGAATCAAAAGATTTAGAAGCTATGACTATTGATCAACTCATAGATTCCTTGCAAGCCCATGAATAAAGATTGCAAAAAAGGACTCCAAACTCTTTGGAGCATGCACTACAAACAAAGCTTGCAATGAAGGAAGATAACGAAGAATCTCGTGGAGGAAGAGGCCAAAGAGGTAGTGGCAATGGATGAGAAGACGTGGTAGAGGCAACTTTAACTATGGAGGTGTGAGAGATCAAAACCAACCACAACCTCAAAGAGGACGAGGAAGAGGTAATTTTGCAAAGCCATAAAATCATTCAAGGTATGAAATATCCACTATTCAATGTTATCATTGCAAAAAAATATGGTCATTATAGTTCTAAGTGTAGATATCGTTCCCAAAATTATGGATTTGAAAAAGCTAATTTTGTTGAAAAGAAAAATGATGAGGAAGAACCAACTTTGTTATTAGCTTATAATGGTAAAAATGGTAATCAAATGGATACATGGTATCTTGACACTGGTGCAAGCAATCAGATGTGTGATAGAAAGGAATTGTTTGTGGAACTGAATCAATTAAGTCATGGGCACGTAACATTTGAAGACTAATAAAAAAGACCTTTAAGAGGAAAACGCAAAATTTTGATAAAAATGAAGAATGGAGGTCATCAATTTATTTTCGATGTATATTATGTGCCGGACATGAAGAATAACATTTTGAGTATGGGGCAATTATTAGAAAAAGACTATAATATTTTTATGAAAAATAGAAGCCTTCACTTAAGGGACCAAAGAAACAATTTGATTGCCAAAGTGATTATGACTAAGAATAGAATGTTTCCCATAAATATCAAAACTGAAAATATGAAATGCCTTAAATTTATTTTGAATGATGATTCATGGTTATGGCCTTTTCGTTTTGGACATCTTAATTTTGGTGGTTTGA